TTGCGTTCCCATAGTCCCTGAGCTTTTTCCGAACGAGCCATGCTTGATGTGATAATTAGGAAAAGTTGATTCATAGGGTCATTTGTTGCGCGGATGCATTATCGAAACCTAAGGGAACCATAAGCCAAGCGGAGGAACAAAAGGGTGTCGAGAGCGATGGCTCTATAATCTTTGCGGCCATGAGACCATCGATATCGACTTTGTGGATGGAAGGTGTGGCGCGAGTCCTTACGCGCCGCCACAAAATCAATATCCACTGAAAAAAGAGGATCGGTCGGCCAAAGGTTCGAACTTGTTCTACGGAAGGCTGCCTCCTTCTTAATGTTATCAACTCTTCAAAGCAAAACATGATTCGTAATCGAGTTTCATTAACGGTATGTAAACTACTTACTAGTGAAGGATGGAACGTTTTTTTGCGGTACTAATGTCGTTGGGGGGGAGGTCATTCAAGTGATTCGGCCACCTGTATATGGGACTAAGCCTTCAGGAGGGCGGGGGAACGTGAGCAGTTTTTGTTCTCCGCAGTGTTTCTCCCCTCTCCTAGGCTTACTTGCGTCGTATAACCCGATCTCGGAGTGTTTTTAAGTAATTTAATAAGAACTTGTGTTGTTTGGCTCTGCTGCGGATTCTGTTCCTCGCATTGCTTGGGACGCACTATAACGTGGCAGTTGGCTAGAAAGGATCCCCGGTACATTTGAAATTGAAGAATATTACCCATTTTTGTATGCTGAAACTCCAGTATTATGCCTCAGAGAAATAACCAACCTTCTTTTGGTAGAGATGCAGAAAAATGAGTACTCACCGAAAGTGCGGACCAATTCTTTTGAGTTCTGGTATCACTATTCAGATCACTTAATTAGAAGCCAGATCATTTTTATCACCACCAAATGTCACGCAGCAATTTTCGGGCCAAATTATGTGTCACCTTAGTGGGCAGAGCGCCGCACCGCCGCGTGATCCTCCCCCCCCCCCCAACTAAGTTAGGACTGAGCCTTAGCGGAGCAGACGAACAGAGCGCCGCGCCAGCGCGTCTACCTCCAGCTAAATTTTAACACCGAATATTTTCGGCGCGAAATCCTACTATTGATTTCAGGAAGGGAGAGAAGATATTAAATTGTTTCCGCACTTGCCAATTCCATTGGTTACAAACGATATTCCGAACCGAGCCAACATTTCCCTCACCTTGAAAACTTCAACCTCAAATAGACAATCCCTAAGGTGGCTAATTAGTTTCGCAGAGCTTCCAAGGCTAGTTGAATTTTGTAAATTCCCGTGACGTCGGTGCTGTTGCGTTGTCTGCAATTTGCAGTGCAGCACAGTTAATCTGACGGCTGCGAGTGTTTTTTGTGAATTCCTATTTGTCTAGCCAGTCGATATCGTTGGCACAGTTGGTTAGTCGCTTTTGTATATAAAAATAGTGGATTATGTTCTCAAAGCAATCTAGAGTAGTGGTGGCGAGAGGTTTCGTGACTTCTTTCTCAATTTTTTTTTTGAACTTTCGCTGGACTTTTCTTTCCAGCTTCAGGAAATTGGGCATATTTAGATCTAACATTTGAGTTGGATCAATCTGGCTCGGGCGTAGTGGGCACTATTTGAAAAAAGGCCTCAAGGACTAAGCCAAGGCAGCACGGACGAACTCCGGAGAATACGAACACTTCACTAGAATCCCTCCCCTCTTCAGAGGCCTAGTTCTGAAGTTTCCGTGATCTTGACGCGATTTTGTGGTGTGCCCCCTGAGCCACATTGCGCCTTTGAGTTTTCCGTTGAGTAATTTTAAGCGCAGATTTTACTCTTTCTTTACTTCACACTCCAAAGTGAACAATTTATCAAAAGCATACTTGAGGATCAGAGGACTCCTCTCACCTATGGTACGTACCCGAATACAGTTTTATGCGTTAACTGCACGGTCCATCGGTGTGGTTCACCTATGAACGAAAGGAATTTTCGCGCCCCACAGCGCGAAACAAATTATTCGTTGCGGACTTAGTCCACAACACCTCGGATCAATTGCTACCCAGGTCCCGCAGCAAAAATTCAGTGGACCCGAGGTTCCCACATCGAAAAATGTTTCGCGCTGCGAAACGCGAAAAAGTCGCTTTGTGTCTTGGCGAACCACGCCCCGGCTCATGCAGGAAAGTAGTGGCAGGGGGTATGCGCGCAAAATCATATTCATTTAAAAAACGGTTTCGAGAGTACTTGAATATGGAAGCCCGAGGGTTTGTTCCCGCGGCTTTGTCGCCATGCTTTAACGACAGGGAAAGCGATGAAGATCGGGGACCACTATGAAGCAAAGGAATATTCGTAAGCCACATAGTCCAGACTTTACTGCCGGCGAAAGAAGGTCTCTTCGAATCATTTTTTTATAGTTGAAGATTTAACTTAGCACGTTTTCTACCACACTCCCTTTAAAAGCGCCGTGATAAAAACAACATCTTGAAAAAAAAAATATTCTCTATCCTGCATTTAGGGCTCCCTCCCAGACAATACCTAACCATTTGGCGCGGCCTGCGGCGGAAATGCGGCCGGATCGGGGACGTGCCCGGGCCGAACCGTCGAACAACGCCACTCAGAGGGCCCCGAACATACTCTGATTGGGCCGGGCACCATAAACTACCGAGCCCGTCGCCGGGCGGCCCGCGCCCATAGTAGTATTGCATGACACGAAGTTTAGCATACACGCGCAAAAAGCCGGACGATTTGCTGCAAATCTGTGGGGCCACCTTCCCGTCCCAAAGTTCCATGTTCTGTACTACTCTATTAATGGCTTCTTTGATTTGGTGCCTAATGCCTGGAAGAGCAGTAAAGCGTTTCGGTTTATAGTTGAAATATAAGTAGCATTGAAACCAGCTTGAACTAGTATCGTACGGCATGCGGCAACCACTAGTCAACATTAACGCTTTATTTATGGGTATTTCAGCACTAACTATTCAAACATGCCGTTAACGTATCGTGCTCTTGTTAACTAATACGCACACATCGAAACCGAAAGAACCCTCGCGACGATATGCTATGATCTTGTTCTATGCTGTGCCTCAATTCGCTAGTCGGTGGTGGATCGTTCAAGTTACTCCTCCTCTAAAAGTGACACTGAATCTACCGATCTACCCTGCGTGAACGCTGAGTACATTAATTCACAAGCGATCGAAGAAACTTCAGAAATTATTAATAAACGGTGATGCCTACATCTTCATAAAAGTTTCCCGTACACTGGGATTTTTGCTTTATGTCAGCCATGAACGCTGTTTCAAATATTATAGGATCTAACTGGAAGATCTTTAATTTCGCGTCCAGGCTATGTGCCCAATCGCCTGTGAACCAGACAGGTTATAGGCGTGCCACAGCACTTAACTAACGAGCAATCGGCACTCTAATTCTACGACGTCAAGCAACAGGTTTCATAACTTATAGTACTACAGACTAGGCGTTACGTGCTGGTACCGTATGGTTCTGCTTAACCAAAGAAAAAACAAAGAGGTAGCTATCGGGGCCGCATAGGCATTCTATTATCTTGAGCCTTTTGGGCGCAAAAAATGGGACCGGGGAATACATAGGCAAATATTATGGTGGGACAGTAGTCTCCAATCACAGTGACATGCAAGCCTTTTTGGGTTGTTCCCTGGGCCTTTGTATGCTCAAACGGGAACTCGTGCGGCTGTACCCCCGCGTTAATCACCGTTCAGTAGCAAAAAATAACTAAAACAACCACGCATGGGTGGTGGCGTCGCCGCAGTATTCCTCCTACGGTCCCAGAAGGGGGGCTCCCGGGCAGCGAATCCACATCTACCCCGCCATACTAGGGGCGCCCCCTCATTAGGTACCCCTGTCCGACCTTATCGTGTACTCGCTCTTAAGGCCGTCTTTACCACTTTCGAAAACTGTTCCGCATCCCTGAAGACAGTATACAATTCTTCAAGGTGCCGTCGATCGATTATCGCGGGATTTAACACGGCACCACCTAGCGAGTGGTATCGCCGTGACCTAGGAGGATTCACGTAATGGTTGTGAGCCGTGCAGGTCGGATAATACTACCTAGTTTTGAGCTTTCTTTATGAAATGACCTCATCTCCACGGGGTAAAAAGGCAAAATCCTACGTACTAAGAGTGGAAACACTTCCATAAGGTATAATCTGGGATAAAAGGCAGCCTTGATTTCCGCCACTAAATCACATCGCACGAAATTTCGATGCGGCCAACAACTCAGGAAAACCAATCAATGTATACATCTTGGAAATTTCTCGAGACCAACAAAAATATGGAATATTTTCCAGAAGAAATTCTCCCCATTGTAGCGATGTACAACCAATAACAAGCTCATACGAGGATCCATATCGAAGATCAAAAATTTCGATCCCATCGCCCGGAAAGAGATTGCCAGTAATATGTCCAATTTGTCCATTTACAATTTTTAGCCCGCAGCCACGCGGTATTTGCTGAATTACGGGTAAATCACTTCGTCAGCCGGGAAGTGAATCCCCGCTCGAACTTGAGCGTTTTGATACATAACACGGCATCCTTGTGTGAAGTGTGCTCTTGTATGTAATCCATCGGGTGAGAAGTCATCTTTTCGGTCATGTGCAGTTTCTAGCCGCAGACCACGAATATTTGTATGTGCTGAATTACGGGTAAAACACTTCGGCTTGGCCAGGACGTGAACTCCCGCTCGAACTAAAGCGTTTCAGTACATAACTCAGCATCCATGTGAAAACTGTGCTCTTGGTTTCTTGTCTTTTCAACTCCTGTTCTTCACCTACTTATCTTTTTCACTTGTCATATTTGCTGAGAGTTTAACAGCATGCTTTCAGCGCTCCTGTGGATCATTCGAGGCTATTATCTCCAAAAAGTAACGACAGATACTATTCCACGGATTATTATGAGCCAGTTCTTCCAAGGTATTTCTTGACGTTTATGCACCGTTATGCACACTCACAGACATAAGTTAGAACAAAAACGTCAGACCTAGAAAAAAGTTCTCTGGTGATGAGCAATTAGACCCGAAGAAAATGCGCATGATGGATATGATATACTGGAATCCCAAAAAGGAGAAAGCTATGACCCGACGCCACGTGGAGACAGAGTCCGTGAAGTCTGCAGTCTGTGAGGAAAAACAGTCTTCCATTGAAAAACTTAACAACAGCGGCAGTAAATCGGCAGCCCCACAGGTAATTAAAAATTTTATTAGCTACCGTTTTAGGCTTTTTTTGCTCTTTTTCAAGCAATAATAATAGTTATTCAAGGTAATAATTGGACCAGACGGCCGACTTGTGATCGACGAGAAAAGTTTAGTTATTGCTGAAACCGTTACCGATGATTCCGTTTGGGAAACCATAGACGAGGTTCGCTGATTCAAATGTTCTTTATTAAGAATTGAATGTGTAAGCCGAAAAAGCATGACAACGCTCTCCTCGGAATTCTCAAGAGGAAGGAACAAAAGTCAGTGCTCGCTCACTTTTCGTAAGCATTCTTAATTAAGGACCGAGTATCTCGAAAAGTTACTTCACTCTCGTTCCGGAATCGCCTATGGCGCAAAGGTACAACCTGGACGGAAAAGGAAACTGAGTTATTCTACGGTATTCTTTCTACTGTGTTGTAAATTTGCTTTATATCAATAATTGGTGTAGGGGGCTACTTATGGAACGATATTCAGAAATTCTTCGGTGTACGGGCCCGGACTTTGGATTGATGCACGAATTTTTTCCAACGCGAGCTCGCAATGAGCTCAAGACCAAGTTCAATCGAGAAGAGAGGAATAATTGGGAAAAACTGAAAGAGGTAGGTTTATTGCTCTTCTCGAGCATTTCTTCTTTAGTTGAACAATGCGTAACCGCAGAGCAAGTTTTTTTGTGAGATTAGTCACCATCCTTTTTTAAACACTAAGATTTCGCGAAATGCTGCATATTAAAAGACAAACTTGGATCAGTCCAAGTAGAAGGAACTACGCTGCGAGTGAACTTGTTGGTTCCCTAACTACAGAACTCGTGCCAGCTTCGTTGCGCAAGATGCGAGGTTAGGGCGCTAATCGTTAAGGGCCTGTAGTCATCGCAACGCTTCCCACCCACTGCGATTGATTTGGAGATCACCGCGCTCTCTTATTAGGCCTGCTCACTCGCGCAGTCATCTAAACATATCTGGGAAAGGATGACCAGTAATTGCATCCCAAGTAACAGTTTTTCCTTTCAGGTTATGGGTAAACCAGCTTTGCTAGACGACGATCTTTACGAGAGGGCTGCCACCCTGCAAAAGGAAATAGAAGAAGAAGCACTCAATAAGAAATTCAAGAAAGTCAAGGATGTAGATGCTGCGCTGAAGAAGAAGGAGGAGAAAGAAAAGGAGAGGAAAGAAAGGGAGAGAATGCGAAAGGAGAAGAGAGAGCAAGCGAAGTTAGAAAGGAAAGAAAAGGCGAAGTTAGAAAGGGAGAAGACGAAGTTAGAAAGGGAGAAGGCGAAGTTAGAAAAGGCGATGAAGGAAACGCCGTTTATGGAAGAGCCTTTTATGGAAGATCTTATGGAAAAGCCAATCAAGGAAAAGAAGAAGAGAAAGAAGGTTTGCCTAAGCGATAGCGGTTTTTCATTCCTAGTTCTATTTTTGAAGATTACAGCCTGAGGAACGAGAGTGGGATGAAAATACAGCAGATTTAGTTGAAGAGGCTGCCACACTCATTCGTGAACTAGAAAGAGAGTCCGCTGAACGGTTAGTGTTCTTTTAAACGTGATCGAAAAAAATGACTGGTTCAATTGCTGTTCTTGTGCCATAAATCCATAACAGTAATTTTGGTTCAGCGATGATGATGAGGAGGACGATGCTGAACCAGGTTGCTCAGAAGAACCAGTCGTGGAAGTTAGACGGTCGGAAAGGACTAAGAAGGTAGGTGTTCTGATTTCGTTTTCTCGTAGCGTTTTCCTCCAGCTATTGCCCAAAGAAGCAGAAGTGATCTGCATAGGCCTACTCATTGATATTCGACAACTCGATTGTACCATTTTCTGGTCTTTGTTGTATTTGTTACATTTATTTTGAACTGGTATGTAATGGTTTTTTAAACTTCATTTCACACTTACGTTCCTTTCAATCTTTTTGCTAGCTCACTTGGTTTGCTCCCCTTTTCAGTCTTATGCACACTTTTCCCTTTTTTGTCCTTTTTCTTACCTACCAAATCATAACCACCTCAGGGGGCGTAATTGTTACATTTAGTTAAAAATCCGAAATGAAATTCGAAACATCAAGCAGGTGTAGTTTTTATGCGCAGAGGAGGGTGCGCGGTGAGTGAGCGTAAGACAAGGTGCGGACGGCGAGCATTGCATTTTACTTTGCGAGGCCCTAGCGCCGCTGTTGGGTGATTCGTATTCACGGCAGCGCCATCTATGATTACCTTCTAGGGGTCCTTTAGACAGAAGGGAACCTTTCACACAACAACCCTGCCTGGGTAGTGCCTTTGAACATATTTCATCAGCATTAGCATACGGTCCTCAAAAATGAAGTAAGAGAGAAACCTGTTAGAAGACAGTGGAGAGGAGGGAGAAAGGCAGCAAGGTTGAGCCCGTT